CAAAATAGCACCCAGCACGAAAAGTAATTCTGCAGAATGCAGCGCGCACCATAAAATAAAAAATTAACTATTCCACAGCAACAGGTGTGCATCCACTGAAAGACACATGGGACTAAATAACGGAAGGGTCATATTTGACCAAGCACAACTTCAGTATGACAAGTGATGACTGATGAACCATCAGCTGCCCAAAACTTAATGACAAATCAGAAGAAGCAAGTAATGATGTTAATGTGAAGCACCATCATGAAGACCCTATCCAACTAAAATACAAAATAGATGTGCCAAGTAGTCTTCATCTGTCCAATATAGATAAGCATGGAATCCAGATGGTACTTCAGGGCCAATCACTACAGAAACCAACAATATGTCTAAATCCAGAGCTGAATGTATATCCTGATAGCATCAAGATAAGTAGTGTGCAGAGCACCATGTATGTGTCTTATGCTTATACAGAAAATATATATCAGTAAGTCATTTTTGTTTAATTCATCAGTAAATCTATTCAAATACAGCTTGACGAATTAGGTGTCATGCACTATCTGTGTCCATACTAAACCAGGTTGATGTGGACTGAAAGACACCCATACAAAGAGAAATGGTCCTTTAAATTTGGTCAAGACAGGCATTAAAGTACTATTATTATCGCAAGATTTCTTAGAGGCGAGGAAAAGGTAGAAGTTCTCCCCTGACGCTTGAAGGAAATAATTTCTCTAAAATGACGCAAAGGTGACGACTTCATGATTGAAGGATCTTTGTTTTCTCTATATTTATAAAAAGCTAAAAAGATGCTAAAAAGGGGGAAAGGACATGAATAGTTTCATTATGATGAGTGTGCTAAAGCGATGACCCCTAAGCATTTGTTGTAGGACAAAGCAAAGTACTATACTATTCTACAGAGCAAAAGCCATAATCACACGCAAATAGCCAAAAAATATACGCTTGTCATCAAGAAAATAACAGTTCAAGACAACCACAAATTAAAGTTCTTTTTATCACGGGAAGAATGATTATGGCCTAGGTATTGCACAGAGCATTGATTGGAGTTGACAGCCATGGCATAAGCATCGTATTAAAAATGCGCAGAAACTGACGTGAAAGCGACTTGTAAACTGCACTCTCCTTAATATTTCAACCAAACAAGTCCACGGCCAAACAAAAACTTCGTCCAAACTGTATGAAGATTCCACAGGTCAGATAGTTTGGCTTGAGAAAAACAAACCAACAACCAAACAAAAGTACAGTTTCTTTACAGGAAATGGTAAGAGGTTGCAGCTACCAATTAATTGCACCCCCCACATACGTAGAACAAAGAATTTGCACAGCGCAACATACTCAGTGGCAGAAATCTATATTCATAAGGACCGAGAAAGCACAATCAGGTGAATAAAGAACTGGGCGACTGCTCAAAGAAGCGCCAAGAAGAAGAGTGGACGTTAGGAAACCCAAGCAACAGGCAAGAGAATCTTTTTGTGCTGAAATCGTGCCAACAGGCAAAGGTAGGCGATTCCGGTGAGCTGAATTGCTTGAATATATTAATTATTAAGGTAACCAGCGAGCAAGGAGCATGTGACCAGGCCATAGCCGTAGGTTGCAGGGGACATACGTAGGCAGACGACGACGACGACGACAAGGCCAGCAGAGGATGCTGCGATAGATTCACCATCTCGTAGCTAAATATGGCAATCGCTTCAGCAGACGACGAAATGTTAGCATGCAGAATCGAATCGCAGGTGGCGAAACAAGCAGGAACAGTATGCCACAAATAGGGGAATTTGAGGATTTGCCCCACCTTTGCTTGCACTTCTAGGATTTGCCCTTGTTTTCATTGACATTAATCTTTTGCCACACCTTTGACAAAAATTTGATGATTTGCCCCTAACAAGATGGGCCCACTGTAAAATGTCGAAACTACCCCTGCCCTACTCAGTTCACCCCGACCGAGCACATCTCTGGGCGGGAAGACATGAGGCAGAGATGGAGCTCCCGCCGCCGTTGTTGCTCCGGCGGAGGTGGCCATGGCTCTGCCCCCGTCGGCCTTGTTACTCGCCCGACGCGGAAAATGGATGAGGAAACGATGAGGTAGCGCGCGGCGGCCGGGCTCGACCTACAGCCACCGGTCTGCTCATGGAGCACCTGCTTGGGGAGCGGCGGCGCCACTCGAGGCGGACAGCCAACGGATGTCTGCCTTGGCGTGCTTATGTGCGTTGTGTACGTGCGTGATCTAGTACCTGGGCGTGCCTGATGGTTGCTAGCCTGATAGGCGTGCGTGTGCCTGGGCGTGCGTGTATGCATGAGTGCTCTGTGTGTGTTGTGTGCGTGCGTGCTCGCTCTAGCACCTGAATGCAGATTTTGTGAGCTTACGCACCCGGGCCTCACTATTCTAACACTTCAATGTTGCTTTGAGATCTGTGCTATACAACTACCTTATTACATGGAATTTTCTCTTTTTTGTTCCTCTCATATAAAACATGTCTTGAACTTCAAACTTTGCAGTACAACATAACTTTGTAACTAGAATGTGAGATAAAACTTTCAGATTTTTTTGTCCGACATAAATATGAAAAATAAGATTTTTTAATCAAATAAATCTCATTTTGTATATTTATGTTGGACCAAAAAATCTGTAAGTTTTATCCCACATTCTACATAGAAAGCTTTGTTGTGCTGCAAAGTTGAAGTACAAATACATGTTCTATATGAGAGAAACAAAAAAGAGAAAATTATTTGCACGAATCGTGATGCAGGAATGAGTAGTTGGATAAGGAGTACCCGGGTGCATATGCTCTAAAACATGTTTTCGTCTAGCACCTGGGCGCCCTGCTGTTGCTGCTTCTACTGCCGCATGCATGGAGAAGGACGTCCTGGTCCGAGCTCGCTCCCGTCGCCGAGCTCGCCATGTACAGCCACCACGTCCCCGGGCTCGGAGTCTCGGACCATGGACGGCACCCTCCGTGCGCCACATCTGGCATGATCCCTTGGTCCTTTCGTGGGGAGCTCGCTAGAGATGCTCGGCGAGGCCGGCATGGCGGCGGCGGCGGTGGCCACGTGCCCGTGGAGATGCACACGCGTCTATTGGTGCTCGTGGCGGACAACACGGTCCGCACTGTCAAGGCAGGGTGACCGGTGCAGGAAGTGCGGCGCCTTCCTCCGAGAGCTCGACTGGTCTACGGGTGTTGCGCTTCGCCCGAGAATCTTGCCCATGGACGAACGCCTGAGCTGCGCCTCGAGCACGTTTGTTGTAGAGGAGGGAGGAGGACATGGGGAGAGGAGAAGCAGCATCAGCTCGTAGCCCGCACCATGGCATGCGGGGAGGAGCAGCAGTGGCTTGGCATTGGAGTATGGAAAGAGGAGCAGCAACAGCATAGCATGACAGCAAGTGGGCTGCGGGACGAACATATAAGGAAGAAGGGCATTTGGGTCATCAAATTTGTAGTGTAATCTCAAACCAGGTAGAAAGGGCAAGTCATCAAAGTTTTAGCGAAGGTATGGCAAAAAATCGATGTCAATGAAAAGAAGGGCAAATCCTAGAAGTGCAAGCAAAGGTGTTCCCCCCACAAATACAACAGGGAGGTGCCTGCTTTATTGGTGCGGAATCCCGGAGCAACAGTATACCAAGACGGACAAAGTCTCCCTCAAAAAAAAAAGACGGACAAAGTCTCCTCCAACTGGACTCAACAATTCGAGTAGAACCCTGCTTTGGTTTGGTTGTACTCCACAGTCCGACTAGAATCAGAAATCGGGCACGAAATCATGAGCTGGTTTTGGCGAAACAGCGACGCGACACAACACCACAAAATCGAACAAAACCCCAATCCATGGCCGCACAAGCGCACCCTAACCAAATGCAACAGCAGCCCAAATCACGGAGAGGAAAAGATGCGCCCAGACAGCACGGATTTCCAAGAAACGGGGGCAGGGCGGACTGACCTTGCCGCCCAAGGAGATGCGCTCGACGTCGACCGACACCACGGAGCCGCCGGAGTCCCCCATCGCCGTCCTCGACGCTGGGGGCCTCCCCCCTCTCTTTCCCTCCGCTTATAGATGCTCCGTTCGCCTCTCCTTTCTCTCTCTCTCCTCCTGTCTGTCTTGGCGTCGCTTATAAACGAAGGAGCAGCACGCACACACGCTCTCTCTTTTTCTCACTTTCACTCTTGGCGTTGCCCGCCTCTTCTTCGAGGTTGAGGAGGCGTTCCTATATTCGCTCCGCCGATCTTGCACTTTCCTATTATTGCAACCCAATCCCAGGTTACACATTACTCACTTCTTTCGGAAACCAGCGGTGCTATGAGGTTAAAGGAGTCTAACTAACCCGATATGCATTTCTGAGTTCAGACTCATCTACTGGTCTGCAACCGGCTAAGAGGAAATTAAAAGAAATTTAAAAAAATATTTTTAAAATCCGATTTTTTTTCTTGTATGGAAGATGATTTGGTGCATGAGGTCAGCTTTAAATTTCAGATCATTTGGACATACGAGTAGCTCTTAGCAAAAAAAACAAATTGGGTCAGAACAGTAGATGAACAGTAAACTATTTCACAAACCCTAATTTTGCTTCCTCTTTTTTTTGTCGAGAGCTACTCGGATGTCGAAATGAGCTGAAATTTGAAGCGGACCTTACACACCTAAGCATCTTCCATGCAAAAAAAAATGTTTTTTCTTGATTTTTCTAGTATTTTCTTTTGAATTTATTGTTCACCACGAGAGCCAAATAGTTGCACTTCCAACTAAGAGCATCTACAACTGGACTACTCAACCCTATACTCATTTGTCTGGTGCTACAACCACAATCCTCCAATTCAAACCCTTATTTTCATATCACATCATGCAACATAAAATTCATCTACGTACTAGATCATATATTAGCAAACGAGTTACATTGAAAAGAAACTACCCTACTTAAACTCTACTCGTCGTCGCAGATTTCAATATCCCTTGTGCCAGACAGACTATCCTTGTGGTCATTGGCGGCAGGCCGCACCTCCAGCTTCTCCTCATCATCATCGTTTGGCAGGACCCGAACAACTCGTCCAATGCCAAGTCCGTGAGGTGGATACGACAACAGTTGGCTGCTACCTCCTGCTTGGACTGAATCAGAATGGCGGCCTGTTCTGCCTCAAATGTCAGGCTTGGGCGCTTTGGAAGTCCGCCTCCGCCATGGCAAAGTTGTAACCCCGCGCATCCTCTGCATCCTCCTCCATGGGCGCATCCTGATCCTCGGCGCCCAACTCCTCCTCCTCCAGCACCTCCTTTTCTAGTAGCTCCTCGTCCTCCTCCATTGTTGCAAGCTCGACGACGCAACATGCCTCCTCCGCGACGTGTATCTCGGCTTGGATCTTCGCCCAGCGTTCAGGTGTGGGCATCTTATAATACATGATCTTCTACCGGTCCATGGCGGACAACGGCGAGCTCGGACTTGGAAGTGGAAGAGAGGGAGAAACAGATAGGACGGAGCAGCGATGACGCGGACAAGATGAAGAGGAGGGTAATGGAGATGGGGCTGGGGTTGCCTCGTCACACGGCTTAAATAACCGGATTTGGCCCCTCAGGGGTGCGCTGGACCCATGCCATGAATGTGCCCTCACCGAACGAGGTGTTAGTGCTCGGCAGATGCGTAGCTTTCCACGTGGGTACCTCCCTCAGCCCGATGTGGTGGATGCGTCCGGGCATGCTTGTGCCTCCCCATCCCCCCTCCCATAAATGGGCAGGGTTTGAGGGGTGCCGGGCAACTCAGGAGTATAGGACCGGTTTGAGGGGGTCGTTTGGATTGTATTTTCCCAACCGATCACTGACCGGGCCATCCGCCCAGACGTATAGGGTGGATTTAAGGGGTCCAGTTGTAGATGCTTAAAGTTCGATGTGATAGTACTAGTATTGTGCTTAACCGGGTCTTGAGCTCACCCTGGCTCAGTGGCAGAGTGTGACAACTAACCAAATGGAGGCTAATTCTAAACTAAAAGCAAATTATGCATGAATACCCAATCACGAGTCTCTTCACCTCCTTTTCTTTTGACAAAGGACTACATGATGTGTTGTTTCAGCATTGTTAACTAAAACCAAAATTCAAATATCATTAGTACTTTCCCGAGTTAAGTTTTTGTATTGTAATTTTAATTGATACAATCAGAACATGAGTGAGTTAACATCTGAATCAAGTTTACATGAACATGGCATGGTGCATCAAGTTTAATGGGTAATCAAATTTACACACCATCTGACCATCTGAGTATCTCTGAATCAACTTTATTCAACTGAATTTTACACACTATCTGACCAATCTAAATATCGTTGAAGCATATCTCGATTTGCTCCTTTAGTCCTTCAGCAGCACTTCACTGTTCAGCTCACGGGCGTCGTATTGAGTCGTGCAGATGCAACATCAGTACGAGAAGGACATCAGCAGCAGAGTCATACAGATGTAGTAACAAGCCGCCAAGGATGATCGATGGCGTGTAGCACAGCAACAACATGAGATGACGAGATGGGCATCAACGGTGATGGCATGCAGAAGCGAGGGCCACAGCATCGGTTGGAAATTGGAGTCTTGATGGAGCAACCGAAAAGGAGGATACCAAGTTTGTGGAAGTAGGACTTGGGAAGAGGATCTCAAATTTCATTAGTAATGGAGGCAAATCACATAGAAAGGCGTGGCGTGGGGAAGGGAGAAACGAACGTGAGAAAGGCTAAGGGTGTGTTATTGCGTTCGGGCTGGGAGGAAAATTATTTAGTCATGAGTTAGGTCATTGCTTAGTATTAAAATAAAATTTTCACTTTTCGCAGCCCCGTTGGCCTCTATGAGGCTCCTCCATTGTCGGGGCCTACCAACGAGTACCTA